TATTAGTCCAAAGGGGCTTTGTCGCTGAGGGACTATTGTTTTTGTTTTGCGATTTTGCTTCGAATCACTCTGAATGTCCGTTTCACCTTTCAAACTCTCGCCACCAAATATTATCACCCTGTATTATATTTGAATAAATTAAATAATGAAGAATCTGCAATAAATGTATGTCTGTTTCTCGCATTGTGATAAAACAAGGGTACCTAGGGCCATTCAATTTTGAATGACGTAATCCTACTGCGAATATGGGCATCTGGAAGCCCAAATTTGAAATTTCTTCTATTATCGATTTCATATTTTGTAAGCATTTAACGAATTTTTGATTAAAAAATTCAAGGATTTCAAAGCGAGCAATGGCAACGTTGTACAGAAAAAGATTTTTATCTCCAGCGTGCGAGACTGTGTATCGGAAATTCTAAAGATATTCTCTACTGGAAATTATTTTGCGATATTGCTCTTGAATGAATTTTATGGTTTAGTGCGAAGAACATGATATTTAATAAATAAAGGTATCATATAAAATGTTAAAAAACGCCCCTTTGGACGTAATTTAAAATTCGAAACCTTTTAGATTTTCTTTTTATTTATTTATTTATTTAGTGGTTGCAGGCAAAACTTCGTTATACAAAACAACGGAAAAGAAAAGAAAACAGGAAGAAAACATCATGCTATAAAACAAAGCGGTGAGGAAACTTCGTTTTTTTAAACATCGCCGTACAAAATATTGGGATAAAAAATAAAGGCTCTACATTATATACAGAATACAACAAGCGTAAACTAAGCAACACAAGCGGAAACCAGACAGGGAGGATAATTATCCGGTAGATGAATTTAAAAATATACAGCAGTCACACAGCCGCAAACAAATTTGACAGTACCCGCACAGTGTCTCATAGTCTTCATGTAGTCGACATTAGTCTTCGTTAAAATTCTAGTCCTTTGTGAAGGCATTACATTTATTTCCAACATAACTGGCACTTTCCACCTATTAACACTGTAGTAACAAGTCGAGCTGGGGTTTGAGTCCCGTTAGCTGCACAGATTATATATGAACCTTACATTTTTTTCACAGGAGGTACCACTTTGATGCGGTCACTACAAATCATCATAGGATGATAACATCGCAGGCATGCATTTGTTTTTACTCCAAAAGCTTTAAGTGAACGCCTGACAATTAGTGAACTCTGTATGTTTCACATTTTTGTATTAAATAATAAATTTTTACTAAAAAGGCAAAAGGAAGCTTAAGCACTAAACGTTCGGAAATTATTAAAAATTAATGTAGTGTGTAGGTAACTAATAGAATTTTAAACTTACGAATCTTCCATTTTCTAGTTCGTTTTTAGTATATTATACTTTTTTATAAAATTCCACAAATGCATCTTTATAAAACAGATTAAATAAATTATATTTTTATTAGCAACAAAAATTTAAAATCCTATCAATTGCTGCTATACACAATACAAAGTTTTACTTATTTTGAGATTTTGAATGTTTAAGTTCCTTCTTGGTTTTCAGTTAAATATGTATCAAAAGTTAGTATTAAAAGATGAAATGTAAAGGTAAAAATACTACTTACTTCTTATTTATTCCTCTCAAATCCTTTCACAAAAATTCCCTTAAATTAAATAAAATTTTTACAGTCAGAAAACACATGCCTACAATATTGTCACCATGCCATGATTTACAGATGCTTTATTTTTACTTCGTTGTGTGAAGGAAACATTGCAATCGTGAAAAATTTCGAGTACCATATTTACAAGTATCTATTTTGTCTGTTCCTGGGCCTGACATCTGTACGTACGGACAGAATGAAGAACTAAAGTGTTTTTCCAAAACGGATTCTGAAATAGACAAATGTATTCGAAGGAGATTTTTTGTGACGTCTGTATGTATACGTATGTATGTATGTATCTCGCATAGCTGAAAAACAGTTGGCCGTAGAACATTGAAATTTTGTATATGGAATAACATCTAATTGTATACCGCCCTTTTTTATTGCAATCGGCAGAAGCAAACATATATACATATTGTTGCGTGCGTAATAGATTGAATGCACAATTCCTATAAAAAGTTAATAAATTTTATTCTAATTAAATATCAATTACAAAGATAAACTTTTATTCAATGTTAAAGTCACGTGCTCTAGTATTTTTATTTTTACGGTGTAGCTTTCTCTTAGAATTTATCATGCGCTGCATTGCACGAGGAAATAAAACAATTTAAATTATAATTCTATTAAAAAACTATATATTTAAATTATATTAAAAATATCTAACTAACTATTCGTAACAATGTATACAACTTTCATCTTCTGTCTTAGAACTAGAGACAAACTTATGCCCAAGGTTTACAAGGTTTGCTCTTGATGATTAGAAATGTGTAAGAGTGTGACGTCGCTGGCTCACAGTCTGCTCTAAAGAAACTATTTCTTCCTACCTCTTCCTTTTGGCTCTACCAGTCGCCGAATGGTTAAGACCGCTGAATACTGGTAGTTCGACCTGGCTTGGGTTAGATCCCAGACGAATGGGCTTGTTGCATGGTTGGTTTTCGTGGTTTTTCCCCATATGTAACGCAAATACCAGCCAGTTTACCTTAGAAAGTCGTTCCACCTCCTCTTACGCAGATATTTCTCGCTCGTGGTTTTATGATATTCAAATACCTAATACTTGCTTCTGTTGTATTTTCGCTCCTCCCACTTCTGTAAGTTAAGTGATATCACTGAACTCGACCATTGGAAAGAACTTAACCTTGCATTTAAACTGACTTGTTTACTTTCGTTCGAGTACTGTAAATAAATTAACTTTTTTGTCGTAGAATGACTTCCGTCCAGGAGCGGATGCAAGCTTTTTACGTTGATTATAATGGAGAAAATAGTATCGGTTTATGGATACTTCAGATGACAAACAGCCTTCAGGAGTGAATTTAATTCGTGAACTGAGGTTTTAGTATACTACTGTATTAGCTAAATCGAGAGCTAGAGTAAAACTAGTCTGTCATTTTTTTTTGCCTATAAGCTTCAAGCTAAAGCAACCTATAAATAATTGAGTTGCTTTTATACATTTGCTGTAATCAGCTGTGCCGTAATACCCTAACTTAAGTCGACAGTCTAGTAAGATTACTCAATTGTCAAAGTCGAGTGCTATAAAGCTAGAATATAATATTAAAAAGCTCGAATGTGCAACACAAGAATGTTCAATCAGTGTATCAAGATAACATTTATAAAACTGAGAAGATATGTTTTTTTAGCATGATGAAAAAATTTTTTTCAAACAAAAACAAAGAACTGCAGAGTTTTCTCAATGCATCTGATTATTCCTATGAAGTGATCAAATGAACTTGTTTTCTAAGCACGAAAGGCATATGGAAATGCTGCAGCTTCTGAGAAATACAAGCTGACGTTAAATTCTTCAAAGTAGCACGTCGGACATTCATTGTACTAGACATGAATTGTACTTAACCTTCAGTAAATTTTAAACTCTGTTCCTCGAGCAATTAATTTGCATAATTTTCCAGTATGAGCAAATATGAAACGTGAGCTAAATCTAATCTAGAACAATGTTTAAACTATACATAAGGGCAAAAATCAAACGTAATCGCCATGAACTATATATAAACTTATATTTTTAATTTATACAGAGACGAAGAACACCTGATTTTCTTAGCATTCATATTTCTATAGAGCTTAAAATAACTTAAAAATTAATTTGAATTAAATTAAAATAGGTAAACAATGAACTATTATTAAAACTTAAGAATAATTTTCAAAATACGTTACTATTTTTGTATAACAGAGTGCAGATACCGGAAGAGTTTTGGGTTTTCTTATTTTTCACATTTTTATAAAGCTTGTTAAAATAGTTAGAGAATTAATTTTAATTAAATTAGAAAAAGTTTGCAATTACAGTTTTAGTAAAGATTCACACACTTATTTTTTTCTTGATTTTATTTACAAAATTTCATGAGTTGAAACAAAGTGATTCTTTTAACAGAAGAATGTTAATAATATATACTTCAATAACTAATGGAGTAATTACTGAAACTTAATGTATTACATAAAGGGCTTTAAGGTTTAATTAAACTGCTGCCTCCTGATAATCATTTTTCTGAAAATTGGAAGTTTTTAACTAGTAATATTTAAAAAAAGTATTTATCTTACTGAGTAATTGGTTAAAACAAACTTTCAATAATAACATTGTGCTTCAGAAGTGCATTATTTTGCCAACTCTTCTTGTAAATACGCTGTGTGTGGAATTGAGAAAAATGTAAAATTTAATATTAGGCCAAATAGGTAACCTTAAATTGGCATGCATTCTTGAGTAGGGAATATGTGAAATTTTGAATGTGACCAGACATTGATCCCTCTTCTTCAGGAGTAAAACAACTTAAGTTTGCTTTTTTATCTAATTAAAAGCAGGTAAATTTTAAACAGTATTCAGATGAACTTGATTTATAGATTTTTCTTCTTATCTATTTGCAGAGTTCTCATGTAAATGGATATAACCCCTGTTCCTGAAAGGACTTAAAAGTCTTTTCAATAAAAGCATAATGCCTTTCAGAACGGAATTTTAACACGTTTTTTTCACAGCCTCCTCTATTTCAGTTTTTCCGTATATTTTGCAATTTACAGGAAAATTTAATTGCAGATTGAGTATCTAGTACCATTATCAGTTTTATTAATTGCTAAATAAAATGTTACAATGACAACAGTTTTGTTAATATTGCGCTTCGATTATGCCAGCGGGAGTCCTCTTATTCAAACCTCCGGTGCGTTTATAGTTGTATTTTATTTTTACTGAAAAGTTTGGCAAATATCAGAGTTCGGCTTCGGCTGAATTTAAAGCACTTAAGGTGTGCAACAAACCCATTTTATGCTGAAATGCTCTTCAGCATTTGTGCTGAAGTGCATTTGATATTTAGAGTTAAAATACACTTCAGCGTTTTTATTGTTCATTAAAAAATTAAATTTGAAAGCACTGATGAAAATTTCTATTTTTCAGGTTAATGTCAGTGGAAGAAAAAGAAGATAACTTGGTAGTCCCTCCATTATTACATCCCGGAAGATGTGAACTGAATTACACCCCAATAAAATAAAATTCGTGCTTATGCCTGGAATGCTGAATGGACAAGAAAGCAATGTTTATTGATCACGTATCTTATATCAAGTGTTGTCACTGCGTAGAATATAAGACCTTTTATTTTAGCCAAGGTATTTTATTTTATTTTATGCATTTGTACATCGCCGATTTTCAAGGTCAATATCTATTTTCGACATCTGGCAAAGCTTTAGATCTGTAACTTAACTTTCAAATTTATTTATTACATTACGTATTAATACGCAAAGTGGTTTGAAAGCAATAATAATAATTTAAATTAATTAAATAATATTTTAAAAATTTAAACTTTACTTCACATTTTCTCTTATTTTACATAATTTTAGTCAATAAAAGGATATTTCTAATTCCACATATTATGTAAAATCCCTTACATGGGGTATAATATCATTTTTAAATTTATTATTTATTATATTTTATATTTCCTTAAATATTTAAAAATTTTTAACTGTAAATACTTTTTTGATTCTAACCTGAAATTTTTAAATCGCAAATTTTTTCTTTCCTCCTTTTTTCTTGTTGCTGATGAGGTTACTGATATTTATATTAATGTAATGAACCATATTCTATCGCTTATCTCATCTTAGTATAATATAGATTAAACAGTTAAAGATTACAGCTTATACCGAAGAACAGAAAAATGGCACCACCAAAATGATAAAAGCTGTCTTCATGTTTTCTACACTTCTTTCCAAATTGATTTAGCAGCTTTCTAAAAAGCACATTATACCTACTATAAGATCTTTTTTCCTAAGAATTATATTTAAAAATACTTAGCAGTTGCTAGTTGAAAGCACATAAATGCCAGTGCTTAATCTTGGAATCAAGAGTTGCCTTTTAACTGCAAACTACAACTTTATATCTCCGAACAAATTAATTAGTAACAAATTAGTAAATGAACTAGCAAGAAGTTTAATCTTATCTGGCCTATCCAAAAGAAAAGGTGAGCCGAATAACTGGAGTTTCAGGTGCCTAAGTGAACAATAGGACATATGGTTTCTGAATAATTAATGTTGCGGAAATCGTGGGTTCGAAGAATGAACGAGATTATCATGTGTTCGGATAACTGGAATTGCCAGTATCTTGTGTCTGGATAGCTGCAGTTACAGGAATCATGTTTCCTGATAACTGGAATTATAGGTATCTTGTGTTCGAATAATTTAGTGTAAGTATTTGAAGTCAAAATACTTGGAGTTGAGGATATTCTTGATTTTGGATACTTAAGTATCTTGTGCTTGGATATTTGAATACTTAAGTATCTTGTGCTTGGATATTTGGATACTTAAGTGTCTTGTGCTTGGATATTTGAATACTTAAGTATCTTGTGCTTGGAAATTTGGAGTGACGTATATTTTACGTCCGAGTAACTGGAGTTGCGAGTAATTTATGTCCAGATAAGTGGTGCTGCGGCTTCCTGTGTACAGGTATTAGAGCTACTTGTGTCCGAATAGTTGCAGTTTCAGGTATTTTATATTTAGATGTTTGCAACTGAAGTTATCTTGCTTCCAGATAAAAGGAGTATCAGATAAGATACTTGAAGATACATTATATCGTGGTTGAATATTTGGAGTTTAGATTACTCTGTGCGCGAGTAACTGGAAATGAGGGTATCCTGTGTCCATATAACTGAAACTGTAGATATTTTGTTATGTTATAAGGTATTTCTCCCGCCTTCCTAACGTGGCCACGTATGCCGGTATTCCAGAGATACGTGGTTCAATTCCCGGCAAAGGCATTGCTCATTTTTCATCTTGCCTGCTTCCAAAAAATACCTCATATCTCTACAGTGGCACCCAAACTAAAAGGCTGTTGGATGATGATATTCCTCACCCCGAATTTGACGATTGGGTCCACTAAAAACCCCACTCGCCCTTTAAAAGGAGGGTATATAAGCTATTTCTCCTGCCTTCCTTGCGTGACTTCCTGGTGTCGTGGCTGCACGCTGGGCCGCTATTTCAGAGGTCTGTTGTTTGATTTCCGGCGAAGGCGTTGCTAATTTTTCATCTTGCCTGCTTCCAAAAAATACTTGATGTCTCTACAATCTGAATATTTGGAATTCGAGGTATTTTGTGTCTAATTTAGAAGTAGTTTTAGTCATGTTTTTGGAAATGAAATGCAGTTGAATAAATGTACTTGAAGTAATCTTATGCTTCTATACTTATCTTATGCCTCTATAACGGGTATATATCTTATGTCTCTAGGACGGGTGAGTATCTCGCGTTTGGATATTTGGAGTCACTTGTGTATTGCTTCTGTGTAACTAGAGTTATGAGAATCTCATGTCAGGATATTTGAATTTATACTCTATGTGCATCTCAAGCAAATTCAACAGAAGACCGATTTGATTGGTATTGATAATAACTGAAGACCGATTTGATTAGTATTGATAATAACTGAAGACCGTGAGTTGAAACGGAAGACAACTCCGGATTTTCAAACTTTGGTAAATAAATTGCGTATGCCCTACTACATCGCCTTTTACCTTTTTTTACACAAATATTCTGCCTTTGCTGACTTGACATGCTTTCAGAATATGAACAACTAACATTTTTCACATTTCTTCGTATTTTTAGGTATTGCGATGTTCATTTTCACATTTTCCAATATTACACACATTGATTCACAATATTTCACTTTATTAATTCTTAATACTAATAATCTACATGCGTTTAATATTTTATGCATTGTATAATTATTAATTTCATAAATTATAATGTAGTTTAATTGATGAAAATATATATTTTCGTCACACATCAAATCAAATCAGCCTTTTGTTGATAGCAGGCCATTTCCTTCCTTGGATAATTAATATACAACTCAAATATTTGACAGCTAGAAACCATTTATAGAATACACATGTGTAATATAGAACTGGTCACAATACCCTTTTTGTTATATAGTACTTAACCGGATCAATAAATACTTTTAAGTCTTCACCAATGTGATATATTTTAAAAAATTTCCCTGTACCATATATCATGTTTTCAGCTTTGAGCGACATCTTTGTTAAAGAAAAAAAGTAACTGTTAAGGAGCCACTTAATTAATTAGAACTATCAAAATTTTAGTTACATAACTTTAACAATAAAGATACCATTGGAATTTGAGGGTACATGAAATTCTACGGTACTAGTAAGAAGTACTATTTAAAAGTACTTCAAATATTACAGCAATAACTTATTGAAGTCACTTTACTTATAACCTTAACTAAACAGAATATGTGGTTGTTTGCGTTAGGATTAGTATGCTGGGTTCGTGCCGGATAAATAGCCATAAACATATTAAATTAAAGTTCTCCAACCTTAAGTTAATCACACTGAAGCATATAGGTTACAAACATACTGAAATATATGTCAAATGACAACTCAAGAGAACATATTATATTACAAGTTAGACTAGAATAAACACTCGACAGATTAAATTGAGCTCTTTCCATTACTATTTTATTAAAACGTTTAAAGGTCGATTATTCTATTTACTTACATGAAAAATATTCAGTTAAGCAACACTTTAAAGAAAAAGAGATTGGGTAACCAAATTTTACAATTATAACATTATGTACCTGGTTAACTAGTAGAACTACAACAATAAATCATTTCATATTTTTGAACACATTATGTCAGCATCGAAATTAAATTAGGCTTTCAAGAGGAGATTTTGATCCTCAGCCACGCAGGCGAAAGAGGCTTCTTCTTTAACACAGATTAATTCAATTTAGTCCTTAAGCAAAATTGTTTATATTATTTCTGGAGTCAGGATAACCAGCAAGTAAAACTACAGTTCACCAAAATTCTATCCGTTCAAAGGATTCTACAGCAAACAGGCAAAATAAATGACTCGATGAACTTAACCTGAAGGAATCATCTCGACATCGATGGTTTGAAACTGGAACGACAAGGGCTCATTCCGCTTCTTGACCACGAGCGCAGGAACACGGAGAATGAAGAAGTTGAATCAAGCCCTTCCTTGTAGAAGGAAAAACTCGGCATCGCCCTCAAAGGAAGTCAAGACCTCGGAAAACCAGACTTTGGGTCGAACTAGCTTCTGGACACCGCCTGCACGTTGTTTAATCAGCGAAGCTGAGTTGACCCATGGAAGACTGCCATAATTCACGCCCTTCACGCCAGACAGGTATCTAGACTGGCATGTAGTGAGTACCTTTTATCTCGAGCTGAATAAACCAGCTCAAAAACGGGAGCCAGTTATCTAACTCTCTTAACATTCCACGCTCAAAGATCATACCGTAATAACCTCTCTTGGCTGGGAGCAAGCAAAAAGTGACGAGATTACAGAATCTTTCATTCGATAACGAAAAAGCAACAGGATACCAAAAATCTCAAATTTCGCACCTCCCAAAACGGCTTAACACCACTTTTCTGCCAAATTATTCAGGAAACAAACCTTTGCGCAAGCGAGGCCAGTAAGCCCGAAAGCCGAAATTGGACGCATCCAACGTCAAATCATTGACCTTCCCACGTAGCCTAACATTAACTCTTAACCTTTAATGAATGAGAATACGTACACAGGTCCCCCTCAAGCAAGAGAAGACAAAAGCGAATGTTCTCCAACAAATCTGCTGTTTTCCGGAATCCGAAAATGGTGCATTAAAAATTTGCCAACCCTCATGATTTCCTTTACATGCAAGAATTACTTCCTTATTTTCACAATTTTCCAATTTAAATTTAACAAGCAAAATAACATTAAAAATAACATTAATAAAATAGCGCTAGTTTTCAAATAAGAATTTATTGAAATAAAACCCCCTTTTAAATCAAATAATAAAGACTAAAATTACACTAGAATAATTCTAGTTACCAAACAATTACAATTACGATACTTAATTTTGTCAATAAATTCAGAAATTTTACAACATAACATGTCTTCAATTTTGCGAGTAATTTCTTTATTTGTAGAAGAATATTCACCATAATCAAAATCTCCTTCGACCCTGATTTGTATGTAATTTACACTTTAAATGCTTTCCTTTAAAAGAAATTCGCAATTAAAATCAAGAAAGCGTATTCACAAATAAGAGCTTTGAAATATTTCAGTTAAGCTTTATACGTAGCTAACTCGTTTATCTATCACAGTTTGTCTCAAGAAAACTCAACGTTAAAGATAGCGTTACCGGAGAAATAGATGAGAGCTATCATTAAAATATGAATTAATTTCTTTCCTTGGTAACAAGAGTCTCCACATTTCATAGCCCATTTTAGCCAAAAGAATTTCTTCTCAGATTCTTTCTGCATATATTACGTCGCTTTCTAACTCCCATGGCGTTTATAGTTGATGATAACTAATGCCAGCGTCATGAACATACATAAATTCACGTCACCCTTTGCTCTGCGATGGCTGGTATGAATAATATGAGCTCTTTCATTAACAGGTTTAATATTGGAGAAGAAAAATAAAAATTAAAAATTGACTTTCTGAAGGTTTAGAGCTCAGACATTTTAGATATTTATCCTTCTTTGTGAAATAATGTTCCTGGTAAGTTATTTCCCATGTCTATAAAGTACTTTGGGAGATGTACAGATGTAAAAATGTATTAAAATCAGAAAAACAATTAACATTTTTATAAAAAATCATTTTATAAATATAATTATAATTATTATAGTTTAAATCACCAATTGTTTCAAAATATGTATTTGTTTAATTGTATTTCATAGTATAATAGTAAAAACATTTATTAAATATATGTTATTATAATATCTGAAAGGCATTTTAGTATTCTTTAATATTATAATCTATTTGCCACTGCATTTAAAATAGCTTTTCATTCTTTTACATTTTTTATGTCAGTTAATTGTATTAGAAATTACCATGTAATTTGTTTTATATTTTTTTTTACTTTTCCTAATTTATTAACCTGATGAATTTTAATTTCGTTTACCTATTATTATCACTTATTATATATTACTAATTTTTCTCATATTACTCTCATTCTTCCTAATAGGTCGGAGAAAAGTTTTTTAGCCTCATAAAATTGCAGTTGCTCAAGCATTTAAAAAAAAAGGAAAAAAAAAAAAAACAAAGAAAAACATAAATATTAATTAAAACAATCTACGAATCTTATATGTAAAGCTTTCTTGAAGATGTGGATTATTTACAAACTCGGAAATGACTATGGGGATTTAAAGAAAAATGGTAAAAGTATGTTTATTAAATAAAAAAGTATCTTCAGCGGATTTAATGCTCAATAAATTTTTATAAATTTGGAAATATCAGCTGCGAGATTGAGAACATCATTATTCAGTCATAGATTAAAAATATGCAGGTCCATAAAATGGCTGAAATTACCTTACTGCCGTTTAAATGTGAAATACTTAAGCAGAAAGCTTAAGAAATGAAATATTATAGAAAGTACAAAACATAAATTCACTTGGTAGAAGAAAAGAATGGTACAGAGGAGTTTATGCAAAATATATAGTAACGTCAGTTATGCAGTATTATCCGTTGCTTCCGAGCAAGTGTGAAGCGACAAACAAGACATGAAAAAGTGGGCGGGACACCAGAACTTTACCTATTCGTTTTACAGTACTCTACTTTCTGTACACTGTACTTTCTGAATAGCTCCCTGTGAATATTGGAGAACACTCTGATGGACGGATCCGAGGATTTTTCAACCAGTCCTTTCCTGCCACCAAGACTGTGTGGAGGATTTAAGTGTTCCCCATGCCTTACAGATATTGAACACTTATAAACATTCGACTTCTGCATCGTACTGCCAGGGATTTCTATCAGGGCCCTACGATATGGCTGTCAGTGTCGCTACTACACGGATCAGAATGACAAAGCGACGTACATCTCTCAAAGCTGAGTGAGAATAAAAATTAAGTGAACGAGAATAAAAAGTAACAACGATTTTAGCAATTTTTAATGCATTGTTAGACCTCATCTAATGGACCACAGCATTTTGGTGGAAGTAATGAAGTTTGGATTTTGATGGGTAACCATTACAAGGGTGCATCGTGAGTACATCTAACGCCCCTGAAGGTATCATCGCTGAAGGTTTACAACACCAATGTGGCCTTAAAAAGACGTTAGATAAACGTGACTATCGTCTGCTGTCAAGACTCTTTTCGTGCCACAGACGGGAAACAATCTGGCAACTAAAACCAGAATTCAGTGCTGAAGACGCAATAAGCATCAGCATCCAGACTATACAGCTACTCTGCAGGATATGGACTTTAGAACTGACGGGTTTTTCGAGTTCCCTTGATGACTATACGACAGAGCAATGCGTTTCACTTGAGCATGGAAACACCAATACTGGGCACGTGATGAATGGAAAGAGAAGCGTGGTATAACGAGTCACATTTTCAAATGCATCGGAATATGGAAGGATTTGCATGTGACGCAAACCCCATATATCTTTCGTGTCAACAGGAAACTGTACCGACTGGTGAGAGGAGCCTAAATGGCATTGGGTGTATTTAACTGGAAATTACATTTACAAACGGTATGTGTACATTCTTTCTGACAAAGTACGCACGTTTATAACAAAGTATACTTATATATATGCTAGTAAAATTTTACCTGATCTAAGAGGACAATGCGCTCACACGCAAATGTCGGAAGGCTGATATTATAGTTACGGAAACATTCATCTCAGCTTTGGAGTTTTGCTATTTCCAATCAGGACCACATATGCTAACATTATAAAACATATTAGGGATACCATACAACAAGTTATCGAATGGAGAAATCCAAGATATCTTGGTTCGATTAACTATAGGTTCGATAACCTGACTATCTGTATCGAATAGAGAAATCTAAGACCTGAATTTTGGAACTATCTGATAGAGGTATAGGATGCACTGCCTGCAATATATTTCCATAAATTTGCTCCATCGTATTTCTGTGGTCCTTTGCTCCCGGAGTGTACTTATTTGTGCTTATCGAACTATTTGTGCTCTTGACAGCTGTGTTATTTTTTCTAGCACTTTAGTGTACACTGGTATTTTATTATACCTGAATTAGTATTATTCAGTTTCGTTTTGTTGCTTTTATTATTTAGTTTCATTTAAAATATCTACCTACTCTTACAAGTTTGCATGACAGTTTAATTAAGTTAGTGACAGGAAGACCTACAGATAAAGACAATAATCTTACTGAAGTTCCATTTTCGAAGGTTTCAAAATTATCACTGCAATTTAAGTTATTCTCAGAAATTTGATTAACCTCACTATCTGTATCCATAATAGGAGAAAAGTTGTTATTCTCTACCTTAAACGTAACTTATAATATTGTCATTTTTCAAGTAAAGCTTGGTTTTATTAGGGTGGAGGTGAATTATAGTTCAAAGCTGGTAGTATGAATTTGAGTACCTCAGTGGTGGTAGCTGAAGATTTCTTCAGACCGAGTTTGGAGGCACATAAGATCTAGGCTAAAATGGACTTTGAGGATTAGGATAATTTAAATATGGATAAGGACTATCTAGGAAAAGTAAATGCAGACAAAATACTTGTACTCTCTAGTTTTTGAGATGAATGGAATGTTGAAAATAACTTTATTTTTGGGGAAACTCGATTTTTAATCTAGTTTAATTTCCAACGCATTAGTTTGTAGGGTTTATATTTATTTTAACTAACATTTATTTTAAGTTTAAACTATCTTTCCTGTCAAGCCTTACTTTCCCCTGGAACTGCCAATGCCAGAATATGTAAAATTTGAGTAGAACGCGCAAGGATTCAAATTATCAGCGGAAGTAGTATGAGTTAAATAGCAAGGAAACGAGTTCGGTGGGTGATTTTCTTACTTAGCGAGCGCGGAGGTAGTTAGCGAGAATTGAAGAACCCCGCGTTGCGGCCTATGTGCTTGGCGGGAAGTAGTGGTAATCGTTCCAGTGAGCTTCAAGTCTGCTGAATTAGCAGCGGTATTGTAAAACGCGGTGAGTTAGTTATTTTAGAGAGCCTCGTAGTTAGAATCTTGTCTTTACTTTCTTTTCAGGTTATTATTTTTATTTGACTGCCAAGTTGGCACAGTCTGTAAGCGTCAAGAGGACGCAATTGTAATTTATTACGTTGAATAAAAAGGGACTTAAACCCTTCTTACAAAGGCTCTATCTTTATACAAGCTTTCATAGCAGTCACCTCTTGGTTGCGTGCAAGTTGGAGGCGCGCAACGTTATATTGGCGCCCGAACAACTTATCGAACTGAAATGGCCGAAAACTGGATGGAAGCCGCTGGACAACACCAAGAAATGGTTACAACGCAGTTAGAAGGATTTGGATACCTGGTCCAGACTTTGAGAGCATCAATCAAGCCAAACGTCCATTTCGACGGAAAAAAATTCGGTGGCGATATTTTTAGAAGGTCTAGGAAAACCACCTTCCAGCTCTACCCTGTGCCTGAAAGACAAAAAGTTGCCATCGCCACATCAGCACTAAGAGGACAGGCCGCGCTGTGGTCGAAAAACATAGGAAAATTTCTACTAGGTGAATTTGGAAGCCCGACATATACATTTGAAAATTTCAAAAAATCGTTAGTAAAGGCCTTCCCCATAGTGAAAGATCGCGCACGGCTGGAAGCCGAGCTATATAGTTTCTATCAACGGGATACAGCAGAATTGACGGACTTTATTTTACGAAAAATCAAGCTAACGGATATGCTGTACGGAAAAAACCCGATGCGGAGATAATTGAAATAATATTACCAAGATTGTTACCCGCTGTCCAAGACTACTTTGAAATTAGAAACCCAAGCACATTGCAGGAACTTTTCGAATTGGCGGTGAAGTTTCAAAATCGCAGAATAGCGGAAAAAGCGAGAGGGAAAACATATTCTCAAAGTACCCGAAGGAAGGAGGAAAACCAGAAATGGAAATCGCTCATATGGGGGAAAGAACTATCAAGCTAACGCATCGAAACTCGAAGGTCAAGGCCCAAAAAGAAAATTTGAAAATAAACATCCGCGTACCCAGAAGACACAGATTGAAAGGAAAGCTTTAAACGAGAGTAGAGGGGCCTGTGAAAGGGGGGGTCCAGACCCCGGAAGTTTTAAAAAAAAAAACCTCAAATAAACATTTAAACACGGTCATCGTAAAAAACTCACAGCTACCAATTATACAAGTCCTGGTTGGCGATGTACCAGTAGAAGCCCTCATAGATACAGGAGCAGAAGGAAATTTTATGAGTGAAAAGTTCTTCAAAAAGAATTTTTATAGGATACGACGACTATTTAAAACCAGAAATACGGAAATTATAGCAGGCGCAAGGAAAAACATGTCACTGCATCGGAAAAATTATCATTAAACTTACAGGTAAAAGAGGAAAAAAAATCTCAAAGTATTAATTTTTGTGGTGAAAGACCTACAACACTCTCTTATTTTAGGTATGGACTTTTTAAGGGCCGCGAGGGCCAAATTAAATTTTCAAGATAGTTCCGTGGTGTTGGAGATGGACCAGAGGGTGGTGGAACCTGTGGAGACACCTGAATTGGACCTTAGCCATCTGAATGACCAGGAAAGTAAAGCAATACAGCAAGTGGTGAGTAATTTTTCTCATTTGTTTTCAGAAAAACCAGGAAACTGCCAAATCGTGACTCACAAGATTCAATTAAATGCCGAAAAACCTTGTAGGACTAAACCGTATCGTTATGATAAACAAAAAGACCTAATCATCGAAGAACATATTCAGGAGATGTTAAAGAATAAAAATAATAACGCCCATAATAAATAGTGAGTACGCGAGTCCAGTCGTACTATGTAGGAAAAAAACGAAAAAGAACGAGTTTCCTCCTTCGGATAAAAGGGCTTGGAGGTTTGCTATCGATATTGATTACAGAAAACTAAATAGCATTACTAAATTTCCAGTTTACCCTTTGCCGGTTATAGACGAGATCATTAGACAGATCAAATCGACAAGATATATGTCTACTTTGGACTTAACGTCTGGCTACTATCAAATAGCTATGAGACCCGAAGATATACATAAAAAACCGCGTTTATAACAAAATCGGGCACTTATATGCATTTTTACGCATGCCCTTTGGGTTGTGTGGGGCCCCATCAACATTCCAGAGAGCTATGGACATTGTTCTAAAGCCTGTCCTAGGAAAATCAACTTTAATTTATCTAGATGATATAATTATAACGAGTAGTACGTTGGAACAACACATTAATGACCTCGAACAAGTTTTTAAATTATTAAAAGAGGCCGGTCTTACAATTAACGCCTCAAAATGCAAGTTCGCAACTAAAGAACTTAAATATCTCGGTTATAAAATTTCGCAAAAGGGTATAGAAACGCAAGATTCAAAAATAAAAGCTATTAAGAATTTCCCACCGCCCAACACCGCCAAGAAACTTTCGTCTTTCCTTGGATTATGTTCTTACTATCGATCTTTCATAAAAGATTTCGCTAATATTGTTGAACCACTCTTAGTAATCAAAAGAAAAAGAGTAAATTTACGTGGACAGCGGAAGCTAACACAGCTTTTGAAAGATTAAAAGAAGCGCTTATTAATGCCCCTGTTTTAAAATTCCCGGAGGGGACGACGAAAACCTGGAAATTGCAGCAGATGCGTCAGACTATGCGGTGGGTGCGGTTCTTATGCAAAATAACCATCCGCTGGCATTTTTTAGTAAAACGTTGAATCAGACACAAAGGAATTATACAGCTACAGAAAGAGAAACATTAGCCGTATTAATGGCTGTACACAAATTTCGAGTTTATTTCGGCAAATCGCCAGTAAACAGTCTCTTTCGGATCATGCGGCTGTTGGTAGACTTTACTCGGGAAAAAAACCTAACGCCCAGGTTAATAAGATGGGCTTTAAAACTCCAAGAATATAATATCACAATAAAATATAAACCGGGTAAGGAAAACAATGTAGCTGACGCACTTTCTCGTATAAAACTGGACGATGAAGGAAATGAACTTAAATGCGCTGTGTTGACTTCAAAAATTTTAGATTCTAGAGATACGGTTATTACTGAACTGAAAGCTGATCCTGAATTTGGAAATATCTATGCTTATTTGAAAGACCCCGAAAGCTTTGAGCACACAGATATCGATGCGATAAGAAATAGAGCAAAAAACTATGAAATAATAGATAATTTATTATTCTATACGAAAACAAGAAACGAAAATCTTGAGTATAAGCCAGTCATCCCAGCCTCGCTTCGATTAAGCATTTTGAAGGAGTTGCACGAAGAAAAAACAACGGGCCACCTCGGGGTCAGAAAGACTATAAAAAGGGTACGCGAGGCGGTATATTTCCCGCAATTATACAAAATAGTATCAGCGTATGTCAGGTCCTGCAATCAATGTCAGTTAATAAATGATATTAATTACAGCCCGGCCGGGTATTTAAATAGCATTCGCGCTACATTTCCGAATGAAATTTTAGGCATAGATCTCCTTGGTCCCTTCCCCCAGAGCGAGTTAAATAAAAATCGTTTTCTTTTAGTAATAGTAGATCATTTTTCAAAATGGATAGAAATTGTTCCACTTAAACGCGCGTCAGCCAAAACAGTCGCAGATGCATTCTTACACAGATACATTTTAAAATACGGTGCACCGATAAAAGTCATTATTAGCGAGCGATAACGGAAAAACAATTCATTAGTCAAATATTTGAAAACATATGCAATGGACTTGGCATACGCCATATCAAAATGGTTCCGTATAGACCACAGGCTAACATAGCAGAAAGAGTTAATAAAAAACATTGTAAAAATAATTCGCAGTTACGTGAGCACACATCACAAGCGCTGGGATGGCTACATAAATGAATTAGCTTATGCTTTAAGAACGGCACATCATGATACTACGGGAAAAAACTCCAGCAGAATTATTTTTAGGCAGAAAGAAAGTTAATTACGCCTTTAGATAAATTATTCTTTGTGCAACAAAGAGAGCAGGAGTTTAAACAACAAGATGTGCAAAAGCTAATTGATCAGGCGCTTAA